AATATGCTCTTAACTTCATGTAATACATCGGGCATTGCTTAAATTTGCTTGTAGCTTCTTACATCACCAAGGACTAAATATATTTTTTTAACTTCTCAGAAATTCAGTTTACACGATGCACACACAAGTAATTTTAAAGTGTTCCTACGCTGAACTTAATAAACTCACGAGACAATCATTAATTGTGGTAGCTGTGAAGAAGACTTATTTTGAAATTTATTGAAACCGTGCAATTAAAATCTAATTGAACAAGCTTTATATCAGATTTACTGATATAAAATAATCACTTTCCTACCGAGGGGTGGAAATGAAATAAATATAATTATATAACTGACATTTTTGCATGCGACGCAGTATCTTCCGAGCAATAATTGTCATAATAAAGCCCAATGTAATTTGAAGTATCTTAATACAAAAAATCGTCTCCGGTTGTTGGCTTCAATCGGCAGACGCAGAGGCGCGCGCTTATCTTGCCCCACAAGCGTTTGGGCTTTTTACGAGTTTTTTTGTGCGCACTTACCATGTATGATGAAATACCGAATTAGACACGGTTGCATCTTGTCTCATCTCCAAGTGCTTTTTAACCAGGATTCTAGAGCCTGCCTGTAAGAAAGGGTTAAGTTGTGCTAGGTATAACGTAAACTCTAATAACTGGGTTTTCTCCTACATTTATTGAGGGAAAGAACCTTAGGGCCGTACATTTTTGATAAGTTACCTACAATAATTTAAGTGGTAAGGATTGTTTACTTTAATATTATGGTAGACTCTACGGTATTTATATATAGGTATAAACTATTAATTTTTATATTCTATTGACGTATTCAGATGAGTGCGAGTGAATGAATTCTGCTGCATGCGACGCTTTTATATCTATTCAAAACACCCGTGCTTGATAGAAAGGTAATCCTATAAATGGTCATATTACTCATTCAATTCATCAATCAAACGTCATGCTTCCAGACTCAAAATGACGAATTTCATGATTCGTGAAAGGGTGTCTGATATTCGTTCTCTGACTAATCATTATTACGACATTCAAATAAGTACCGATATATACATAGAGCATATCATTTTATTTTCGCCGCAACATAAAAAATATTAATAGTCATCATCCAAAATATAAAAAATTTAGCACATGGGGATATGAGTTCCTCGTACGCAGCTGTAGGATCACGGACCGAAATAAAAAGAAACATGCATGAAGACTAGAAAACTAGTGAGTTGCTATCTGGACAAGAGTTTATACTTCAGCATTTTCAACGAATTAACACACTAATAATTTTTTAGTTTCCTTTCGAACAATTTGCTTGTTCGACACTTGATTTCACTGATACAAAATAATTTCATTATAAACAATTGTATGACTTTCAGGTAAATTTCTTATAGACTTCAAGTTCAGGATTGGCTTGTCAATTTGGCCGGAAGAACATTTTACAAAATTTTCTAACTCAAGTAATACATGACTAATTTCTTATTATTCAAACACGAGTGTACATTACTAAACGCACAATAACATTGGAACATATATGAATGAAATGTTTTCGGAAGAAAATATCACATTGGTAACTTTTCTACGGATGTATCAACCGTCGTCTATGCTATTCGTACCTGAAGGCCGTGAATGGTAACGCGACTCACCGTCAGGAGATATACAGTATATATACATAGGATAATGTTTGAGTTGAAGAGCATTGCATACTTGTTAAGGTAACACATTTTCATCAAATAAATATATATAAACAATTAGACGAGTACACGCTGATAATTAGGATGTATGTCGACACGAATTCATACAAGAAGCAAAACTTCCTATAATCATTTATAGAAGCTGCAATCAAGTCGCAGTAATACGTCTTTTGTAACGTTTTTATTAACAGAAAATATTCGTATTTATTTATCACACAGTTCTAAAAAATTTAGAGTTAAACACCATGATTTGTTATTGAATATAGACTGGAGAACAAAACTAGTAGAAAGTGGCAGAGAGACACATCACGGCTCACATACGAAATAGGTTTACATTTGTGTTAAGCAACTAAATAATTTAGAACGGCGCTGCACTCGCTTATCTATGACTCTAACTTCACAATACATAGCAGGCATTTTGTCGGGATAACGCAATCTTTTTAATTCGTGTTAATTTTATCCATGGCGTTGCGTTCGAATTTCATCAACTTCGTTGACGTCCATAAAATATATTTCGTAATTGAAGGGTAAAAATATATCACCATTGCTGCACAAAACTCTCACTCTGATCAACGCCATTGAATATTAAATACAAAATACTGTTAAGTAATTCAAAGACAATAAAAATTTATGATACGCCTCATGGTGATATGATACGCCTCATGGTGACATGATACGCCTCATGGTGACATGATACGCCTCATGGTGACATGATACGCCTCATGGTGACATGATACGCCTCATGGTGATATGATACGCCTCATGGTGACATGATACGCCTCATGGTGATATGATACGCCTCATGGTGACATGCATGATACGCCTCATGGTGACATGATACGACTCATGTTTTAATATCATTATATGCCGGAATGAAGAAGATGTTCTGACACGCCTGCATCAGAACACGAATGCAGTTATTATGTTATAACGTTTAAGGAATATTTCATTGTGACCAAAAATATTACCGAACATTGTTAATTCATTTTGTTGAATGTATTTTTTCATTAATGGATTCACCAGACTGTGCAGACTAACCGATAAGAATTTTGTTATTATATGACAATTACTACGAAAATTAGTAAATCTCCTTATATATATGTAGAGTATATATTGATGTCAATGATTTTCTCATATTCATTTAGAACAGAATTTGAATTGAACATGCAATAATGGAAATACCTGTACAAATTTGTTATATTATAATTATAATTATATTAATTATATTAATTGTTTTATTATAAAAATTGTTATAGTCCTTGGTCAGCTGAGGTCGCCGAAAAAAGTTCATATCATGCATGCTCCTCCGTTCGCAACTTCTTTATTAATTTAATTTTTTTAGACCAGGTTGATCATGCACAATATTTGTAAATATTTAGAAGAAAAAAGCAAATGTCATAAATGAAATGCACAAGTATGCCGTAAATAACTTTACTACTTTTCAGTATTATTATATTATACTTAAATAAAGTATTATATAATATATAATATATAAAGTATTATATTATATTATATAATACTTTTCATTTACGTTTTCACAATTATAAAAGAATTAATAGGTCAAATTATGCCAGATAGAGAATTGCATGCTTGAGAGAGTGACCATCAAGTAAGTTTAAGTGAATATTTCAACTGGATGCATCAAAAATTTATACAATTTCAACATTATACAATAGTGGGATTGTTAAAAAGGCGTAAATAATTAATCGTAAATTAATACTAATTCTTAAAATGTAACTCAGTACTCACTGCAGTGAGTGACAGAGAGCGCATTTTCTCGTCAACGAAAACGTGAAGTCACGGACGGACAGACAGACAGACGGACATGACGAGAACAATAGCGCCTTTTTTCCATAAATGAGGAAATGCGCTAAAAATTGTGCATTGCCGGAAATTTTTAATAACGTAATCCAAGGAAAAAACAAATGGGCTAAGTTCGAAGCCGCGTAATTAAGATAAGTTTAAGTTGATCGAGTATGAATAGCAGACAAAATAAATTAGTTGCATGGAATAGAAATACTTTGCAAACGTGACCAATTTTTCCTCATCTTTTTGCAAAGTATAAATATTTTATGGAAATAACATTGAATATAATTTCGTCTATAAGTAATAATTACGTACTATATAGCGCTAAGTATAAAATAAAAGTTATATTACTTCACTGTTTTCCAAACATTCAACCGAACCTTGCAAAACATTCGGCATTCATTACCAATGCATCACAGATTATGCCAAGAGTTAGCATGCGGAGGAAGAAATAAGCGAAAAAAAATTATTTCTTCTACACATCCATTTTAGCTGACGGCAAAAATTTATGACGTCGAAGTTATTTAAAACAACATACATTTAATTCCAAGTATAACAGCGCTTACAAAATTTATTCGCAAGCTACTGCAAAACCAAATCCGTGGCTCCAAACTTAAAAATAAATGATGCTGATGCATGAAACATATAAGTACGCCCAAGTTGGTAACATTAAAGCGCCCGCAACTGCTTTCTGCAAATTTCTTGTCCCGATTTTTCGTATTTATAAAAATGTTAAGACTTAGAAATACCTTATAGCTGCATATATGATCATCAGGATAGTTTCTTTCTATAATATATTTTGAATATTACTTATTACAATTCAACCTGTAAATTAAAATATCAATTATATTTCTAAACGATATTTACAGTTGTGTAAAAGTTCTATTTCCGAGCTAGGTACTAGAATGATAGTAAAATATAGAAGTCATTTAAATACACGAATTTCTTCAGGTTGAAAATAACGCTTTCGATTTCTTTCGGTCGAGTTCAGTTTAATTGGAGCGTAAATGAAAGACTAGAATATAGAAATATTTGGAATTATACCCAAATATTATAAATATTTAAGAAGATGCAATATTACAAACGCATCTAAAGGCCCTCTTAATTTTGGCCCTAAACAGACAACACGGTAATAAAATTCAGAAGCCCCTTAGATGTATGATGATTTTTAGTATCATGGTTGACATTATAATTTGATTAGAGTACAGAAATAATTCGCTGCCTTATGTCGTATGTGTATGTGGCATGCATGGCTCAGGCGAGGACGTGTCCGTACTACCACATCGACGGCAGCTGGGCATATGCAACGGCGCTTCTATCACAACTCTTTAAAATTATAATCAGGTTCAGTCTAATTCGTGGGCGTGGTGTTCTAGGAGTCGTGTTGTTAGTTTATCGCATCGCCATTGGTTGTTTCGACCATAAAATAGGTGGAGTTCTCCCGAAGGCAAGGAGGAGTTCCGTAACGGCCGCCAGGGGCGGACCACATGCCTCAGTAGTGTGTTCGCAGGAATCGATCGAAGACGTCTTGCGCTAGCAGCTCCATTCCGATCATTCATGTGTCATGATTGATTCGGACTATTGTCACTTTTGTTTCGTGGCATATCGTGTAGCCGGAGACTCTTGCCAGTTTATAGTCAGGTCCTAGAACTTGGGTTCGCTCAGAACATGAAGTGCAACCGGCTTTTGTAAACCCGAAATTGACAACATAACTTGTGTCCTCAAGTCCTTTGGTCACTCAACCGAATTTTATTCACAATTTCATTTTGTGTGGGAGCTTTACCAATTAAATGGTGTATGCAAAGTAAACAGTTCCGCTCAAAATGAAGTGACAGTGCGAGAGAATTTTAGACTCACTGTTGAATTAGATAAAAAATTGAAAATTGCACGAATTTTTATATACTTATCGCAGGGCTATAATATTTTTACAGCCTTACTTGAACAACTTCCCGTCTAATCAAGAAGAAGTAAACACTCCACAGAAGCAGGGCAGTTTGGCTGAATTTCGCTCAGCAAAGACGCCCGAAGCTCAAGATAATCGTTGTCTGCTCGCCGTGCATCTCGATCGCAGACCGCAGCCATCCACGCCACTGCAGCCTCGCGACCGACGCAAGCTTCAGCCTCTGCATGCGCCTGTCATAGTCAGATTTGACTGGACGAAACGCAACTGAAACGTTATAGTGAAACGTGCTATTTACCATAATTTAGATCATACGAGTGATTTCCTGTCGAGCATCTCGGTTAAGATTAGCACTACGCTAGGTGAAACATAAGAAATTCGTTGCAAAATACTTCAAAACTTGCGTTGTTTCTGATAACGCAACACTAGCCTAACCATACTACGGGTGGGGTATGGTCGCGACTGGAGTTGGAGTACAGAGCCTCACCTCGAACAAGTTTTCCGACCATGGCTCTTCTTATGTGGCCTCGAAATATGGACACTTCGGCACAGCTCAACATCGCGTCTAAAGACAACACCTTTGGATTTGAAGGTTAGTAGAAATAGAACACAATTTTAGGATGATTTGATGACGATTTGTATTCCGTTGAAAGCATTTAAACTCAGAATACGTCAAATCGACAAAAATGAACTGTTTGCCGTACTGTTTGTATTTCAACAATATGTGTCGACATGTATAAAATTTCATTGCTCAACTATCTTATAAATGTGTCAATTGAACACCATTTAAATTAACTCATTACTTGCTACAAGCGTTAATGTTGTCATTTCGAAAAAATTATAGATATATCAACAATGAGGCATAATTAATTCTAAGTTCTATGGAATTGTAATGAAATTTGCAGGGGTAAACGACTCAGGGAAGCACTGAAGAATTTCACTCCATTAAATATGTACGGAGTGAAAAATTTTTCAATTATAATGCATTTTTGTGCTAAGCTGAAATTGCGCACAATGATTTATTTTATGCTGCATGAATCCCATTGATATTGCTTGTTATTTGGACTTCAAAAACTCATTTTATACTATTCTTTACTATATACTAGAAAATTTGATTTAGGGGTTCGTCGAAATAATAGTTTAAAACACGTTCAAGAGTGATTCATTTCATCAAAAACGTTGCAAAGTTTAATCAAAATGTGATATTCCTGTAACCTCACATTGGCTTGTAATTATGCACAAAAAATCACGACTCTGCATGTTTTGATATGCAGTGAGATTACACATAATCAGTTCAACGTATCATATACGTTTACAATCACATGTGCGTACAAACGTTAAGTTTAGTGGTCTCGTAACAATAGCTTCTTAATGAACAAGCCACGACTTACGCATTTATCAAGCATTGTTCTTCCCGTTCCGTCACGGCAGCATTTCAGTCTTGAAAAGAAATCCGCATTGCATCACTGACATCGTTGAGGCTTGACGCGATCCAGACTCGCTTCAGAAGGTTGCGGTTTCGGTCCCGATAGTTGCAGCGAAATCAGGCTGCGCTCGGCTTGGAATTGCATAGTAAACAAATCACCGCGCTTGAGTAATGCAATTGAAATATTCAAGGCTGAGCAATGGTCACGCTTGACCCTGAGAAATGGAAGCAAAGCGCTTACTGAATTTAATACAGCCATATTTCAACAGTAGTCAACAATCTGCAATCAATCTTGGAAATTGTAAAATGGGCTGAATTCATGTGTTGGAGACTAATTGCTCCGGTGATTAATCAGGTTTACCTTCCTTTATAGACGTTATAACATTTAGGCTAAATTAACGTTTGTATTATTATTATAATATTAATTGATTTTGAAGGTTTAAATGTGTGCCGAAACAATTATGCCTCTACACACTTTAGATTTTTTATGTGCTGCTATAATTTACGTAACAGGAGCGCTTTGCAATTCATGCTCATTTCTTAAAATTTTTTTTTTACTTTAGCATCATACTTACATCGTCATCTTCACCTGAAAAATAAACTTTAGAAAATAAACCTTAGGTTTTGTTTTTATTGAAATCTTTGCTGGCATCAAAGAATTCTCAACTCGTAAATAATGCGACGCTCAATTATTAAATTATAAACAAAACAAATATCACTGAACCTAAAAATCCGCATACACTTTAAAAAAGTATTCTAAATAGATGCCAAAAAAATTAAATTTCTTTTTCGACATTCACGGCGTCATGTCACTGATAGCAAGGCGTATGCAAAACAGCAAAGACGCATGCATGAGGCGGCGAGCATTGAAATCGCCCAATCGATTCAAATTTGCCTGCTGAGCCTGAGCGGCAGGCAAGCACGCGAGTCCATGGAAAAAACTGCAGGCTTCTGGCTGGCTCACCATAGGACGCGTGCGCCCGCCCTAAGTCACCGCTTAGAACTGACTTGCAGAAATTTAATTCATTTAATTCCAGCGTTTGGATAGTTCTAGATGCAGCAAGGCTTATGATACAGTAATAGTAAAAATACAAATAAATTAGAGCTTAGCATCTGCACTTTAAAAAAATGCTCGCCGCTTTGTCAGGATATACCTATAACCGATGGCTCACACAATTATGAGTGTTGAAACACGTGGACATGGAATTTCGTCTTGTTGTTTAATTTGTACTGCGGCTAATGACCCGTAATAAAATAAGCGACAAAAAATTGCTCAAGATAAAAGAACTATTAAAGATGGTAGCATTATATCAGACAACAACATTTGGAAGAGTAATTCTGCAATATATATGAAATGCAAGCGACAGCGGTATTATGGTTCAGTGTATTTATAGAGTGGCGGGTCAAAGCAGCGGTACTGCGCGCCATGACATTGACAGGAAAACATGAGTGGCGCTAGGTTTGTTTTTGGGTATTAAATATTTTAGAAATGTAATATCGTAAAAATATCGTCTTATTGTTAGACTTTGAACTTGGAGTAAGCAAGAAGGCAATATCACAATTATAATTAATAGATACAAACTTGATGCATCAACTGACACCGGAATTAACTGGCTTTATTTAAATTATTATTATTATTATTTAATATTTAGGCTTTCGCCTAAATATTAAATTACTGTAAATGTGAATTCTTCTTCAAACACTGCACTGAAAGTGTGATTTATAGATTAAATAACTACACCCAACGATTTATATTCAAAATTTAATTCCGATGAATAAATTTCTCTCTTTAAAGTAATACCTTATATCAAACAATGACGGACACAGTTTTCACGCCCAAAGTTTCATAAGAGTTTATTCACACTAAACCACAACCATGAAAACTTCCATAAATTTTTAGGTGCAGCAGGTACCATAGTTGACCAATGGGAACAAATCATTCAACTGAAGCCTCACGGATGAAGCTCTCGCTTTCAACAGACAATGAAGGCAATAAAAGTGAAGGCATTGCAAATGCAAATAAGGCATCTTTTTTTTACAAAGGGTCACGTGCGCGACGCTCTACAATAAAAACGTAACGCCTCCTGAGCCACCACAAAAAAATAGGAAAGATTGAAAGGGTAAGATGTGAAGAATAGGATCAGGTTGAGCGCGCGCTGTTTCAATGGGATGCGCAGGATGCCTTTTTTGGTCAAGTTTTTTTATGTTTGTGCTAAAACACTGGCTATATTTTTTCGCAGGAAAACAGTTTATAATTAAGATCTGCTACATTATCTGTGTGTTTTATGAAACGATAATTGATTACATTGACTACATTTTTTCTCGATGGATTCCATTTTGCGTCACCGAGCATTATTATTTTAGTACTGATATCGTTCAACTATACTCTAATCGGCACATGAACTGCAAGTATTACTGTACTATATATTTTACCCTCTAGTTCATTATGCTCGTTTTATTAAAGCGATGTCAATTAAGGCATCCTAATAAGTTATAATGAAGTTTTAAGCCAAGTTATTGTTCAAGTGGAAACATGAATGTCGGAAACATGAAAGTTGAAAGTGTTGCATTTATAAAAAAAGCGTCAATGAATGTTTGTAATTTGAATACTCAAGCAAAAAAATAGTATGCTGTGACATCAAGAAATAAAAAGCCTGCCTCAACTTGGCTCTTACCAAACAAAAATAAAAATTATGCCTGGTTTGTCACATCTTTCGTTATGGTTGTGCGATCATCATTAGCGACATGAAATAAAGCATGAGTGGTTCTTAAATTCATCAACAAGCGAAACACAAACTAAAAGAAAACATTTTGGTGGTTGCCTTAGAGCAATTCTAATCTATTATTTGTGGCTCCATGCCCTTCACTGAGGCTGTCAATATGTGTTGGTGTTGTGGTTTAGGGGAAAGTATTTTATTGGTGTTGTTCAATTCATCATCTCATATGTGTTCCTTTTACAAGCTGACATCTTTTGAGAAATCAGTTTTTCTGGCTATTAGCCATGCCTGCGGTCCATGCCAATATTGGTGCAAGCAAATAAAGACAATAACATAATGTTTTAGTTCATTATAGATCATTTCCTACTTAGAAAAATTGATTACATCCAAGGATGGTCCGAAAATTGTAGTGAAAGAAATTTGAGTCATTATCCTTTTGGTCCTTGGAAATGAAAAATTATTTATCTTCAAGTTTAAATGGAATATTTTTACCCGTTGTGATTAATTGATGGTCTAAGTATTGATTACAATATAAATACACCAATTTATTTAAAAAAAGTAGAATGCTTTATTCAATTATTTTCCAAACGCATTCATTTTAAAGAATGTACCGTTTTTCACTTTTCCTAAATCCATACAACATTCAAACAGTTACTAAACAAATGCATCTATACGGCAAATTTTGGAAACGATAAACTTATACCCACTGCAGTTTCATAGTGAAAAACCTTTTTCTCACCACATAAATAAACACAAATTCCCAACCCAGCGACCGCCAGTTCCGGGCAGGAACTTCTATAATCCGGCGTGCGTGCTGGAGAACCCAAATTGAATCATAGCCACCGCGTGTTGATGACAGTTACATCACAGCACGTCCATTCTCATGCCAATTATTGTCTGGTCTGTGAATAATTGTGGAAAACTAACAATTTAGCTCATTGTTTATACCACAGACATTCTCACGGACCTAGATGCTTACATAACAAGATTTAGGATGGCACATTCTCCTTACTCGGCAACATTTGTAGATCACCACAGGCTGACCCATGGAACTTCAAAAGCTACAATTGATGTTCGTATTTATTTTATAGTTAGTGGCATCCAGAAACGTGATTATTCAATCGCTGTACAGCATTAAGCAGCAAGTGCGTAATTTGTGTAATTAATTCCTGCGCCATGAAATAATTGGTTGCGAGCAAAAGTGATGCCTGGCAACAACCCTACAAAGTATGAACCATACCTATGTAAATAATTTCCTCTACTGAAATTTTCTGAAGTGAGACTTACTTCAAGTAATAGAGCGAATAAGCGTTAAACTACACTACCATCTTACGATTTGACCTATAAATTGGACAATTAACGGTCGTCTGAACGTTGAACATCTTTGCGACTATTGCGAACCAAAATGAATAGTTACAAATTATTGAATGGGCGAGCGATGACTCAAAA